GAGCGACGTGCGTGGGCTATTTTATTTGCAACCTGGCGGGCCTCCTTCTGCAGAAGTGTGAACTGAGCCGCCGGATCCTCCGGATTGGTCTGGTGATCAACTCGTTGTCTTCCTGGCTCGTGTCTGGTCATTGGTGCTTGGGCTTCGGCGAGTGGTGCATCTTCATGCTGTGCGAACACGCCTTCATGATGTTCGGAGGCATGGTGCTTGTGGAAAACCTTGTGCACCTGCACTTGCTGTTCACACTTACTGGATCGTTCGTGTGCTACCTGCTACGGCGGGAGTCGTCAGTGCTGGGTGTTGAGGCCGACCGGGTCTGGGATGCTGCCGCAGTCACTGTCGTGATGGTCCTCGTTGGCGGGATCTTGTATTCTGGCCAGCGGAGTATTTCTTTCCTGCGCCAGAAACTAGACTTAATATCGTCAATCGTGACCATGTCGGAACAGGAGCTTCCAAACTCTGTTTCCTTCACGAGGACCCCCTCGGGATCGAAGTTCGTCAGCTCGTGGTCGTCACCGAACGGTGGCTCTGGTGCCTTGCCTGAGCTGTCGGATTGCATCGGTAGAGGATCCTTTGGCCAGGTCTTTTCCGCCAACTACAAGAACCAGAAAGCTGCCGTCAAGATCATGACGTGGGAAGGGGAGCAGCTGAAGAGAGTCGACCCTCTCAAGGAGGCCAAGCTGTGCATGAGCATGGTGCACCCGAACCTCGTGCAGGCCTTTGATTTCTTCATGCGCGACTGCGAGAGTGAGCTGCCTGGTAAGAGCCCATGGAAGGAGATCTGGATCGTCCAGGAGTGGTGCGACCGCGGGACGCTCAACAGCTACTGCGATGTCCCACGCACTTCTGGGTTGGGCCTGAAGCAGGCGAAGACTATCCTGTGCGACATCAGCACGGGTTGTGAGTACCTGCATTCCAAGGACATCATCCATGGAGATCTTACGTCCAACAACGTGCTGCTCAAGTCGAGAGACAGCACGGGCCCACTGGAGCTGGACTTTGTATGCAAGGTTTGCGACTTTGGGCTTGCCAGAGTCCTGGAGGAAGGCGTCTCCACGCTGCTAACCTCGCAACTTGGCACGGTCTCACACATGCCGCCTGAGCTGATTCGGCTGGACAACAAGAGGTTGACAAAGAAGGCAGACATCTACGCGGTGGGCATACTACTTTATCAAGTCCTGCTTGGGCGATTGCCCTTCGCAAAAAAGTCGGCGCCGCAGGTCGTCATCTTCGTTGCTTCGGGCAAGAGGTTGCAACTTGACGAGACGGCGCCCGAGGATGTTCGGCAGATATTCATGGATTGTACCGCGTTAGAGCCCAGAGAGAGGCCAACTGCAGAAGAGTTGGTCCAGTACTTTTCTCGCGACGACCCGCAGTCGGGCTGATTCCCCCTCCGAGCATAGGGTTTAGGGTTTAGGGTTTAGGGTTTAGGGTTTAGGGTTGAACCCCTTCCTAGGCTACTCCTGGGTCCAGGGAATGTGCTCCACAAGGCCTACTTAATAAACCCTAAACCCTAAACCCTAAACCCTAAACCCTAAACCCTAAACCCTAAACCCTAAACCCTAAACCCTAAACCCTTAAGAGCCACTTGCAAGTGTGTCAGAATACAGAAGTGGTCGTCTGCCAGCCTAGTGAGCAGTGGCCACGCGGGCTTACAGGGCTTAGGAAGCTGAGCTGCGCCGGCCAAACAAGGGACCAACAGCGCGTGTGTGGTTTAGGGTTTAGGGTTTAGGGTTCAGGGTTCAGGGTTCAGGGTTTCGGGTTTAGGGGAAGCTTACTGTGGGCCAGCAGGGAATGAAGGAATAATGATACCCTATATCCCCCCGTAATATACTCTCTAAGGGATTTTATGCACGCTTTAAGGGATTATATAGGGTACCTCATTACCCCATCTACTAAGCAACAGTAAGGAAAAGGTTATTTATGTTCTGGGCCTTCCAAGTGTTCGCTGCGGTGAGTATCTCCCTCTCTTCTGCCATTATTTGGGGGTTTACGAAAAGGCGGGACCCTAGTATAATTAACGACCCCAATCAGGTACCCCTAATTTCGCGAAATTGAGGTAGATACGCCTGCACTTCAGGTCCTTACAGCAGTTGCGCGGGTGCCATTTTTTTATCAAGGCGCTCATGAGCCTCGTCACAGATGGCTTCCCCCTGTGTGGGCGTTGCAAGGCGCCGCACTTGCCGAAAACCCGACGAAGTCTAGGGTTTAGGGTTTAGGGTTTAGGGTTTAGGGTTTAGGGTTTAGGGTTTAGGGTTTAGGGTTTTAGTCGGAGAATGTGAAGGACTTGCTAGAGCGAGGGGCACACCTTCAGTTTCCTGTGGGGCCTCTTGTCCTCAACATCATCTCAACTATCCTCGGAGCGCTGCGATCCCTTAAATCTTTAAGCCTTTATGTTTTCGTTGTAAACCCTTCAATTCTTAGATTGTTTAGGGTTTAGGGTTTAGGGTTTCGGGTTTCGGGTTGCGGGTTTAGGGTCCATTCGCCGACCCCGGCCTAACACCCCACGCCCCTAAGCCCAAAGTAAGCCCTCGACATGTTTCGTCTATGCCTGCCTTAAACCCTCAAGCCTCCAGTCTGACTTAGGGTTGAGGATTTTGGGGGTGCTGAGGGTTTTTTTAAGGTGCTGAAGGTTTTTTAAGGTGCTGAGGGTTTTTAGGCTTAGGGTTTAAGGCTCAGGCAGGTCTTGCTGTCTCAGAAGCGCCGAAGAGTCCTGAAAGCCACAAATTGTACACCCTGCCAAGCCCTAAATGCCTGAAATTTCTGGGTTCATGCGAAATCCTTCCCAGATGTGTGTTGTTTAGGGTTTAGGGTTTCGGGTTTAGGGTTTAGGGTTTAGAGAAATTGTATAGGGTTTGTGTCCTGGGGGGTCTTGGGGGTCTTGGGGGTTCTTGCCGGGTCTTGCCGGGTCTTGCCGGGTTTTGCCGGGTCTTGGGAGGTTTTGTTTTTTGCTTTTGATGAAATTCGGGGAGGTTTTGTTGGGGGGTTTGGGGTTGTTTTGGTATCTTTCGGGGCTCAGGGTCTTTTTTGGTAGCCTGCAACTGATTTGTGAAGGATGAAGGGTTATTTCACGAGCTGCTCGTAATGAAACGTGTAAAATCCTGGCCTTGAGGGTTTATAGAAATTGTGTAGGGTTTGGGGTTCCAATAAGTTTTGACCGAAAGTTTTGACCGAAAGTTTTGACCGAAAGTTTTGACCGAGTTTTTGTTTTGGAACTCTGCTTTTCATTTTGGGGGGGTGACGGGGGGGGGGGGGGGGGGGGGGGGAGCGGTGGAGGGAAGGGGTTGTACTGGGGGGGAAAGGGGGGCGCGGGGCAAGAGGGGGGGGGGGGGAGGGGGGGGGGGGGGGGGGGGGGGGGGGGGTGTGGAGGGTTTAAGTAAATTGAGAATAGAATTATGGCTTAATTTACTTAAACTCAGCTTGCTTGGGAAATTCAGAACGATACCACATAATACCACATACAATTTCTATTCAATTGTCTTGAGGGCTTAGGGTTTAGGGTTTCGGGTTTCGCGTTTCGGGTTTCGGGTTTGGAGTTTATGGTTTAGGGTTTAGGGTTTAGGGTTATAGAAATTGTATAGGGTTTGGGTCCCAATAAGTGTTGACCGAAACGTTTTGACCGAAAGTTTTGTTCTTTTGGAGGGGATGAGAAGGGGCTGAGGAGGGGATGAGGGGATGAGGAGGGGCCGAGGAGTGGATGAGAGGGGATGAGGGTGGGATGACGAAGGGAGGAGGAGGGGAGGAGGAGGGGAGGAGGAGGGGAGGAGGGCAGGGGAGCAGGAGGGGAGGAGGAGGAGGGGAGGAGGGCAGGGGAGGAGGGGATGAGGACGAGGAGGGGATGACGAGGGGGATTAGGAGGGGATGGGGAGGGGGAAGAAGAGGGGAGGAGGGGAGGGGGGGAAGGAGGGGAGGAGGGGGGGAGGAGGGGAGGAGGGAGGGGGGGGAAAAGGGGGAGAAGGCGGGAGAAGGGGGGGGAGGCGGGGAGAGGGGAGGAGGGGAGGGGGAGGAGGGGAAGAGGGTTTAAATAAATTGAACGTTTGGCCTCAGAGGTGTTTTGGATTTAATGTACTTAAACTCAGCTTGTCAGCTAGCTGTGTAGACAAATAGCTTGGAAACTTCAGACTGGACCACATACAATTTCTATTTATTCTGCCTTGAGGGTTTAGGGTTTAGGGTGCATAGCCTATCATCCTAAACCCTAAACCCTGAACATTAAGTTTCCTAAGACGCTCAATTGCTCGGAATACCTTACATACAAGGAGCCTGGAATATCTTAAATCGGGGGGTCCTTTACATTTGGTCGTTGTTGGGACGGACGAGGGGGCGGATGAGGCGGCGCGTGACAGCACATAAGAGACGGAGATGAGAGAAATCTCGGATCTTGTGTGTTGTTCTACAAAATAATGAGAAAAACTTCGAGCCCGAATGAAGATAATTAATCGTATTAGAATAAGATCGAAATATTGATTTTTGTTCGTCACATTATCGTTCTATTGAATGATTCTCAAAGAATTAGAATCTATTGAAATATGTTTATTGATATGAGGAATTTCTTTCTTAAATATTTTATACTACATATTTCAATCTGAATATGGTCTATATTTTTCTTGAAATTTGAATGAATATTCGATAATATTAAATTAGACCGAAATTCTTCTTTCGTCATTCTGGATAATAATTGAGGAAGATTTCTTTGGAAAGAAATAAGGGAACAAATATTTCATAAAATAGGGAATGGAGAAAGATATTCTAAGGAGGAAGGTATTAATATAGGATATAAAGAATTTCGATTATTTTATGATTGTCTTCAAGAAATTCTGTGTCAGATTTTTGGTTTCGAATGAGGATTTTTTTGGGAGAAATTATAATGATTTGGATATTTGATTCAAAAGAATTTCGGGAATAGGTGATTATATTTATATAAAAGGAACACATATAATATCGATATTTGGAAATAAATTGATTATGATTTTTTCGAATGGTATATATTCTATCTACTTAAGGAATACTAAATATTTGATAATTTATTCGAATTATTTAAATGAAATTAAATTATCTTTCATTTTTTTCTATCATTTTGATTACGATCGGCCCGATTTATATTCATTTTCAACTAGGATTGATTCATTTTAGAATAAACTCATTTCGAATAATGATGATGATTTGAGCTTATATGGTTTCTATTGGGAATACATATCTCTCTCGTATTGAGATAGATTTCATAATGAAATGAAGCTTTTGGAAATACAAATATCTTTTTTGGAAGATTTCTATTGGG